CCCTGGGTGACCCTGCTCTGGCAGGAGGTTGTACCAGATGATCTTTCGAGGTCACTTCCACCCCCAAACACTCCGTGATACCAAATTTAGTGTGTGATATGACAGTGTTCCCTCATTATTTCTTTTTTGGCTTCTTCCCTTTTCACTCAAATGTGTGTATATATAGACACCAGTTTGTGTTCATCTGGGAACTTGTGCTTTAAGTTAGATTTTATAAACCTCCTGTATCAGAGCTGTGCATTATGTGTCTCTATTGCTTATACTTACAAATCTAAGAAGTTAATGGATTATTTGTGGTGAACTAAGATTGTAAATAATAGTAAACTGTTTACTTTAATTCTTTCCCCTCACAGTTCGCTTGTGAAAGATGCCTCCCCTGTACCTCTTATGGATGTTACCAACTTGTCTACACCTCGAAAGTTCCTTGAAACTTCCCAGTTCAGTACTCCTGGAGGCAGCGGCAGTGAGTATTTAAGTCATAAGCATTTCTTAGTTTGTAGATGTTCAGCTGCTTTTACAGGAGGAGCAGTAGGCATGTCATCCCCTCCTCATGGATGACTCCTCATGGGAGGTCCTGCCACAAAAAATCAGGAAGAGATTTGTGCAGTGTCATGCAATGAGTGAATTGTGTGTCCGGGGGCAGAACTTGGCCGTATCTGCATTTTTCTCTTTGCAAGTCATCTTTCCTCCCTCTTTCCCCGCCGTCTTCCCCTGAATATACGCAGCTTTCTGTGCCTCTTCTGGTCTTGATCATGTTCTTGATATGTTGGGCAGCAGAGGTATCTGCAATCAGTTTCCTCTCTGCAGAGGTTTCCTCTATGTTCTTTAATTTAAGCAAGCAAGTGTGTGTGGATGTTGTAGAAGTTTTTTTTTTTGCTGTGTTTGGAGCCAAAAGCTCAAAGCTTTTCCATGTGGGAACTTCATAACTTTGACGAAAGGTTTGTCTAAACACAGGAATAAGCTGGCGGTGATGGTTGTGTACCTGTTAGTACAAGAAACACTTGGCGAAACACGCAGTTTCATTGGTGCTTTTGTATGAGGCTTTGAAAGTGCTGCACAGATGGGGAATTAATCCGTGTAGTGTTCCGGTAGATTAGCAAGTGAGGTTGTCCTTGTTTAACAAATGAATAAAATGAATGCTACAGGAGTGACCTACATCTCTCCCCCCTTCCTTTTGAAACTTGACTGTTTGAGCGTTCCTCAAATGCAAAGAATCTTCTTGCCTTCTCATTCTTATTAATTCTTTTGTCCTTATTTGTGTCTGCTAATTTGTGCTTTTTCCTGTCGTACTTGCCTCCTAGACTCTTTCATTTGATCCTTCTTATCTTTCGCACTTGTAGAGGTTTTTGTTGTTTAGCCCTGCTCCCGTAGGTTTGGCTGGCCTCTCGGAGCCCGAGTCTGGATTTCTACATCGGAGGGGTTTATCGGGAGTGTGACATGCCATTGCAGACTTCCAGAGCTGGAAACCTGGAAGAGAAGATTCATGTGAAAAAATTTGGGAAAAAAAACCAAAACAACCAACCTTAAGAATTCCAGTTCTTTTCTTCTGTGATCAGTGAGAATTTTATTTCAGTTTCTTGCTAGAGATCTTATGATTTTGGGCAGCTAAGGTTGTAATCCACAAAAACCTGAATGTCACCGTGGTAATGTTAAGCCACTTCCTTTTCAGTGAGTTGTGCAATGTATGCAATTAGTTTCAACCTAAAATATTTGTCCTCTGTATAATAAGAAAAATATAAGCCCGAAGTTATGAAGCTGATGGGGGCCTCCCGTGATGTCTTAAAACGGGGAACGGATGGCAGGAGATGCAGCTATTGGAGAATGGAAATCCTGTCCTTCTTCCAGTACTGTTAGTGTCTTAGTTTGTTGGATTTTTATTGCTAGTGTAATACGAACCTTAAATATACTGGGAAAAGAATTTTCTTCACGCTCATCACCTTTAAAGACTTGCAGATCCGAGCTGATCGTTGTCACATTTGCTGAGATTGAGAAGAGGTCTCTTATTAGCCAAAGCTGGCCGAAAAGGTTTTTTTCCTAGCTGTACCCAGTGTAAACCTGCGTGTAGAAGCAAATACATTTTTAGTGCTCATACTGGGCTACTGTGATTTGATCTGTAAGGGGAGTCCCAAGGCATGCTCCTTTTTCGGAGCCCGGGACTTCACGAGCACTGACCCTAGCGTTCCCATTTAGGTACTGTCCTTCTTCGTCAGCAGAGTCCAGTGCAAGTTTACTGCGTGGATTTTCACAGAATCATAGGATACCAAACTGGAAGGGACCTTGGGGATTATTTGGTCCCACTTTCCTTGGCAAAAGCAGGGTCTAGACAAGGAGTCCAGCCGAGCCTTGAAAGGATACTTCATGAGCACTGACCCTAGCGTGTCCTTCTTTGTCAGCAGAGTCCAGTGCAAGTTTACTATATGGATTTTCACAGAATCGTAGGGTACCAAACTGGAAGGGACCTCGGGCATTATTTGGTCCCACTTTCCTTGGCAAAAGCAGGGTCTAGACAAGGAGTCCAGCCAAGCCTTGAAAGGGTCCGATGTTGGGGAATCCAGCACTTCCCTGGGGAGATCATTCTGACGGCTGCTTGTTCTCTTTGTGAAACATTTTCCTCTTGTGTCCAGTCAGCATCTCCCCAGGAGTAACTTGTATGATTACCCCTCGTCATCTCTGTGTGACTCCTTGTGAAAAGGGAGTCTCCATCTTCTTTGGAGCCACCCTTTAAATGGGGCAGCGTGGTGATGAGGTCTCCCCTGAGCCTTCTTTTCTCCCCGCTGACCAAACCCAGGTCTCTCAGCCGTTCCTCACATGGCAGCTTCCCAGGCCTTGGGTCACCTTTGGGGCCGTTCTCTGGAAGTAGAACTTACTAAGTTCTCATTTTATTTGCTCACTGCAGTGTCAGTGGTGTTTAAATCACGTGTCCGACAAACCCCTGATAAACAGTCATTTCGTACCATGTTTGAATGAAGGTCCTAGGGTACAAGGCAGAGGTAAGAACCACAGGAGCAGTCTCTGAGAACTTTGTGGGCATAAAATGACGTTGCTCCTTTTACTCCAAATGCCTGAAAAGAGAGGCTTTGATGACTTCATCCTCAGCTCTAGTAAATCAGTAGAGGTCAGCTGAGAATCTACCTTTGAGTTCTTGTTTCTGCAGATCTGTTCTTGCTCTTCGTGCCCAGCGCACCAGAAAATCTCTTACCTGGCTCCTCGTTACGCTCCGTGTCATTCTGTGAAGTGCTGGGCAAGTGTCCCTCAGACTGGGAAAGATGTAGATTGTAATAGAAAACATTTGATCGGCGTAAAATATGCATATGGTTTTGCTTCAAGTGCCCAATGTTCTTATGTATATTTTTTCCACATAATTTTATTTAAAAGTAGCCTTTTCCAGGTCTGCAGAACTCGGGGAGAATTTAAAGCTTATGCGTATGCATAACAAAAACTGTTTCTGCCTTTAGTCATTTAAGTTCTTTGCCTTTTTATTCAGGAAACAAAGTGGCTGTGCATATTAATGTGTGGCGGTTTAAAGCACTGACTCATTCAAACCATCTCAGCAAAGATGCCACAATTTTGAGTCCTTTCTGCATTCGCTTCCCAAAGGAGATGTTACCTTGTCCTTTAGAATCTTTATAAGGAAATTAAAGCTGTTCCTGCTGCACTTAAAACAAACAAAACCTTCTATAACGTTCACCTGAGGATTAGAGATACGACCGTTCACCAGTAACATTTTCCCTTCATGCCAGTTCAGAGAAATAAATTAACTTTCAAATTATATTTTTCTGTTTGAACCTTGTGTACTCTGAAGAGTATTTATGAGGGTTCCTGTGTTGCCAGACTCTTCCTGGAACTATAAAATGTACTTACCCAGTACACAGCAAACCCAAGAGCGCCCGTTCCTGAAAATACCTTGTAGAAATCCGACCAGGATGAACTGAGGTGGTGACAATTAATGTTGTTCTTGATTGCACATGTAAATTTTGTGCTGAAGAGATAATAGACTTCAGCGATATGTGCTTCCCAGCTCTAAGAGAAAAACATAACTTGTAGATCCAAGCAGTACGGTGACTTCTAAGCTCAGGTCTAGTTCCTGCTCCTGGCTCCGTTTCTTCAAGAGCAGAAGTGCTCCTGGGTGGTGAAACCACGTGGACACCTGTGAGCTTGGCCCCGCAGGAGCCGGAGCTTTGAGATCCAATTTTAACGGTGGATCTAAAAAATGGCGTTGGAGCATTCTCTGTTTGTTGTTACAGTTGCTTCCACCTCAAACACACTCAACAAACGCATACAAGATTTTTTTTATTTTTATTTTTTTCTGTTAGCTTCATCTCAGGATCTGACCGTAGCTGGGTGATTTTTTCTTTACCACCTGTACAAAAAGTTAAATGATCCCGTCACTGAACCAGAATTTTCCTGTTTTGACTGTTTTGCATTTGCACAAACCCAACTAAGGACTTGATGAGAGGTTGGTGGGAATCCAGCAGTTGAGTCTCATTCCCCCCTGCTATCATTTCAGCGCTGTGCAAACAGGCAGAGCTTGTTCTTAGCTCAAGGTAAATTTTTGCACCGAGGATTTTTAAGAGAAAGCTTCCTCTGGTTTAAGAAGAGTTTGCAACTACACAAACCCCATGAAAGCCTATGAAGTAACTTTTTGTGTATCTATTTTTGCAGGACTGTGATTTCACTCACTGATCCTCACCAGCGGTTCATGTTCTGGCTTGGTGCTTAGCACTGATGGGCGTATCTGTGTGTGTGTGTGTGTTTGGGAAAGGAGAAACTGAGGAAATTTTAAATCCTTGTGAGGAAAACCAAGAGAGTAATGCTTAGTCACCCTTCCTGTATGACTTTTAAGTTGTTCTTTCTGATAGGTGGTCCCAGTGTAAGATATTTGACTACCGTGCACTTACTTGTTTGCTTGGAGATGCAGTTTTTGTGCTTTTATGTATTATGAGCATTTTGAATGTGATTTAGACTTGCTTCGTGCAGTTTTCTCAAAATAAAACGTTGTTACAATGGATTTGAAAGAGTGGCCGTGTCAAATTAAAATGCCTCTTTCTAAAAGACCTATATCCTTATAACTGTAGATGGAACTGTGTGAACAGCAGTTTTAGTAAGAGGATGTTCACTGTGAGGATTTGAGGTTGTTGATCTCCGGGACCCATTTTCTTTCTGAGCTTGGTAGTACGGCAGAGCAGGAAATGACCAAAATCTTCAAAGGACTCATTTCTAAAGTGACCGTCCATGGGGCAGAACAAGGATTCAGCGCCCGAAATTAGCAGGTGACGTTTCTTCAGATGCTAAATTATGCCTCTGGAGCACCATGAACTTCCATCCTTTTCTCTAGCAGGGTTGAAGGCAGAAAGGGTGTGCTCAGAAAAGACATGAATCATGAAAAATAGTACATAAAATTTTACTAGTTGCCCATAAATGTCACAGCTAATGAAATCTTCTGTAATGAGTAGCAGCAAATTT